ATACTGTTTTATCACACATCTTTCGGACATTTACAACTATTTCAGTACTTGAAGCACGACAAGCCTGGACAACCTTGTGCCTGCATTCTCAAGTAATCAAGGCTGTACACGCTACAGCTTTGAGTCAAGGGGAAGAAAAAAGGCACAGCCTTCAATACCCTCTCCAGTCCATTCTTGCCGCGTGTTGCCGATCTCAAATTGTATTGGTGCCATGCCGAGGTTTCCCATGGGTCATTCGTTTCCGAAAACTGGCTTGCATATGCCAGAATATCCAAGTGGATCCACCAGGTGCTCGACAAACTAGGATCCGAGGCAGAGGACACAAGATACACGGACCCAGACATCGATTTTCTTTCTTACAATCTGACACAGAAAAGAAACTGGCTTCTTCATCGGAAAATCAGTGGTATCAAGAAAGATTCTCCACGTAACCTCGTTGAAGGAATCTTTGATGCAATTACGTCATTGGAGGATATTCCGCCAATCGTATAAGACCTTTTCTCGGAAGCGAATCTTTGCCAGGTGAAAGACGTTGTGATTGGCTGGCATGCATGCATTAGCCGAATCATGTCAATCACAGAGAACCCAACCGACACTGTAGTCGACGATCTTGAAAGGCACGTCAAGATCTTCCTATCCTGCAGTCAATTTTTTGACGCATCAAGACAGCAGAAATCGGGAGAGAACGGAAAGGACCGGATCCCAAAGTGGAGAACAACCTTCAACTATCTAGGTCTACTGAACTATCCGGATCTTGTGAGAGAACACGGTCCGGTTTGGCCTCTTTCAGAACTACATTTCAAGGGTGAGGCTTCGATTCAGCTCCTGAAGAAGAGATTTTCCTTGGGAACCCATGGAGAGAACTGGGCCTATAATGTGACAAATGCGTACTACAAGGATAAATCGTACAGGAATGTCTTGAGAGACGCAAAACGATCTTACCTTTCAAGCATGGATGAGGAATTGTCGTCTTCTGAACCGGCAACATTGAAGATTCTCCAGGCTATAGACCACGAGATCAAAGAGGGCACCACAAAGGGCGGCAAAACAAGGATTGAAGATGAGATGATTCGTAACACAAACTCAAACTTTGTAAGATACAAGGATATTGAGACAGCACACAGACACTTGTCCACGAGAAACAATCTTATCACAGGTATTGTTGTGGAGAA